AGGGAAGGTTGAAGGGTGGAAGCCTTGGCACATAGTATGATGCATTAAGTGTGAGACGGTGACCAGATCAACTCCTTTTTTTCCCAGAAGCACCGTGGACTTTATGTATCACAGAGGCTCCACATCAGGGTGTCTTTCTAGCATCAAGAAGGGCTGAACCCTGTAAACAGATTCCAGAATTCTTTGTTCCCCATCCTCTTGCTTAGATTAGCAGGAAAATGGGGAAGTGTTTTCCACTAAGTTCAATCTTCAGCGATGGCTATATACTTTCGGAAGCGTTAGAGTCACCTGTGTACTGGGAACTTTGGGGAGAATGATGTGTCAAAATAGGTTAACTGACTGTAACAAATTCCCCATCTCCTGTTCGGAGATGTCAACAGTGGGGAAGGCGGTGCATGCCAGGACAAGGGATACATGGGACGTCTCTGTACTTTCTGTTCAGTTTTGCTGAGAACCTAAAACTTTTCTAAAATATGATACCTTTTTTTTTTTTAAAGCCAATTGGAGAGGATGGGGAGAACTATGAAAGAATCAGTTTCATTGCGTGGTGCTTCAAAACTTACAAAGTGGTTTTTTTCCTCTTATCTGATCTTTTATCCAGTAAAACTAGCAGAGCAGGTGGCATTATTTCCATTTTTCAAGACCAGGAAACTGGAGCTCATAGAGTTAAAGTGACTTGTCTTTGGATAAAGAACAAATGACTGTCCAAGTCAGGTCTTAAAATTAGTCTGATTTTCTAAGCCCAGTCACCAATGCTCTCTCCACCTGTATCTCTAATGATTCACAAGCTTTTTGAGAGAAAAAAATGTCTTCTTTCTGTTCTGGATTAGATATTCAAAGTAAATGTTTCATCAACTATCAATGTCATTAAGACAATAGGAGGAAGTAATATAAATAAATTCATGACAGAAAAGAAAGATTATCCAAACTATATACTCTTTCAAAAACTCCAAACTGCTAAGAGGACTTATTCTGAAATCAACAACATTAACGGGTCTATGCTAATAATGGATGGGGAACCGGAAGTCTCCAATCATTCCTAGGAGATGAAACATTCATGATTTCTCAAGACAGGCGAGCTCCAGAAAGAAATTCCCAGGGAAACCAGGGGCAAAAATAATGCCCCATCTACTGAAACAGATGTGCCTGGACTTTAGGACATTAGTTCATGAGCCCAAACGGCAATGTGTTTATGTACATCAATTCTAACTTTTTAATAAAAATAGTAACCAATATTTATTGAGAGTCAATTCTGTACCAGGCTTTGTTCCAAGTGCTTTGTGCTTTTCTGAGTTTTTGGTGAATAAAAATTAAATTTGTTTTGCAGTATCGTGATACCCCTTGAAGTAATCAGACAGTATCTTTGGCACCAAAGGCTAGGGACTTGCCATTCTTGGTTCTAGAACCATGGCTTCACAGAGAGGGAGTGAGGGGAAGGCCTGACAGTTGTCCTTGAGTTAAAACCAGATAGTTCTGGACCAACAGAAGAATGTAGGCATTCCCTTTAAAAATAATAATTTAGCATAAAGCAGCTTTCCAAATAGGTTAAGGCTTTTTGCCTTACAGGCAGAAATGTGCTTGAGCTTATTTCAAAGACCAACCTCTCAATATTTCAAAAATATGATTTCTAAGAAGCTTTCACCACCATACAATTCTCTAACATTAAGCTTCTCCTATGTTGCTAACAATTTCAAAGAATAAGAGGCAGGTATATAAAATTCACTGACATTTCACATCTTTTGATGGTGCCCATCACAGACACAGTAATAAGGTATTTATAAGATTTTGGTGGTGATCTTAGCCTTATACTAGATATACATAAATGTTCATTTTTAGGTAAAAAATGAAAGGAAAAGATTCCTTTGTAATGTCCTTTGTGATACACCCACTAGCATCTTTTCCCTTTGTCTGCTTGCTAGTATCCGCTATCTCATTTAAATAGCATAGACTTTTCTCCTAACCAGTGATGAATTTTAACATGCAGACACCTGCAGAGGTGACAATGACTGACATCGACAACAAGATGGAGATTTCTGCAGCAGAAAGGAGGTTTGCCTCAGAAAGATTGCGGTGGCATGACTTCTTAGGTGAGGTTTAGGGAAAGAAGCAGAATGAGGGTCCGGAAGACAAACTTCTGACTGCCTCAGTCACCGTCTAGTAATCAGTATTTCCCTGCAATGCTCTGGCTTCAGAAACTGTTTATGACGAGTGACTGCCCTCTGGATGCATTTAAGGTGACTGGCACAGGACCTCTGGTTAACCTGGAGGGAGAGCTGGTGAGTGGTATTGATCCTGCTCTGAAAGGTTATTCTGTCTATCCTGATAGGAGTGTAACGTCTCAGTCATGGGCTCAGTCAAGTTCCCTGCTGGCTGGTCATCTCTGAGTCACTCCATCAACAATCCAGTGCTCACCCCCCATCCCAACCCCTCGGCTCTGGGGAACAAGTCCCTGACTTGCTGAATCATCTATCCTATTTCCTGCGAGCACATCCCACGTCCTGACCAAAGAATTCTCTGATCAAAACCACTCAAACACGGTCATTTCCATCCTCACAAAAGATTTTGGAATTTAAACTGGGTTATGGAGTGCTGAAAGACACGCCTACCCTGGGTGCACTGAAATTTTCTATCAAGCAGAGCCACCTAGTGGTGGAATGTAATATGGGTTTTTTAAATTCTCATTTAACTTCTCTCCTAGAACACTCCAATCCAGGCGGGGTTTCCTTTTGTCTTGATTTTTACATGTTCATTGTACTCATTCTTATTTACAGTTTCCCCTTTGAGATTGTCACCTTCCTCTGTTTTCCTTACCAAACATCTATTCATCCAAGGTATACAAACCCAGAGTTTGTTATAATCAGAAAGTATTAGGACTAAAACAGAAGCCAACTCAACAGCGTCTCTTTAGAAGGGCAAGAAAATGTCAGTACGAATTTATTTCTAAAGATAAAGGGCCACTTGGATATTTACTTTGTACTTTTCTATCTTCCATAACTCACACTGTTTCCTCCACACTACACCACTACTCCATACTCCCATGTAAACTGTCACATAAAATTTGCAGGCACAGAGAAGGTGGGCAGAAGTCCTTGACTGTGGTCTCTGATCTCCCCCAACACACACATATAATCTGAGGTAGAAATTAGAAGTACCTTGGGTGGTTTTGGTTTGGTTCCTTTTCCTCCTCTAAGGTAGGTAAACATTCATAGTCGGCTAGGACAGAACAAAACAAGCTCACTATTAGTTACTGAAATTCTATTTTCTATCCACAAAACTCACACAGTTGAGCATCACATTTCTCTGATCGTGTGGTTACTTGGACAGAAATGGCCTCACCAGGGAGCTCCAGAGGTTAAAAGATTAATGATGGCAAGGCTCTTGAAATGGAAAATGTACTAATAGCACAGATACAAGACTTCAACGTGCCTCTGGCTCCGTTGGAAAGGGCACAATTCATCACTGCTTGGTTATTCAGTCCCTGAAGAACCCCACTGTGGCTCCAAAGACTGGAATCTGCATGGCTTAGGGTGGATGCTGGAATAAAACAGCCTTATCTGCGGTCCTGATGTGCCTGCAGAATGACTTCGGTCAGGAGGCACGATGGGAAAGGAGCAGGCAAAGTGGGGAACAATTGACCTTCTTAAGGTCATCAGAATTCTCTCTTATGACACTTCTGCTGGTTTCTTTTTTTAATATTTTACTTATTTATTATTGTATTGCTTAAATATTTCATTTGGGTGAGGAGGGAAGGTAATTAGGTTTATTTATTTTTGAGGGAGGTACTGGGGATTGAACCCAGGACCTCGTGCATGCTAAGCATGTGCTCTACCACTTGAGCTATACTCTCCCCCCCAACTACTGCTGCTTTTAAAGGGAAAAAAAATCCATTGGATCAATCACCTATGCATCAAAACAACACTCTGCTTTAGTTATCAAATAGAAATGGCTTTTTCCAGATTTCTGATTTTAGTGAGTGTAACAGGATCATGATTTTGTACTACAATGACCTCAGCCACAAAAGGAAATATATCAAAATATTAAGAGAGATTGTTTCTGGGTGATGGATTTTTTTTCTCATTCCACTTTTTTTTTTGCATTTTCCAAATTCTACTGTGTATGTATATTACTTTTATAAACTAAAAACAACAAAATGAAACTACTTTAAGGATTACCTCAATGACCCACCCCAATCCGCAAATGCTTTACAGAGCCATTCTTCCATCAATATTGGACTATGAAAAACTGTTCAAAATTGTGCAAGTTAGTTAAGTGGTTCTAATATTACTAACATACAATTGTATATATTGGAATAATACAATAATTTCTAATAACAAGTATCTGGATTTGAGAATTCCTTTGTAGATTGTTGAATCTGACAGACCCTGGGGTATTTTTTAAGATAAATATTAAAAATACATGTGATGTAATAATATAAATAGTGGATTGTATTAATTTAACATGAGCATTAAAATAATTTATTGATTTTTTAAAGGAATTTAAAAAAGAAAAAACAGCTATCATCATTTTAAAGTCCAAATATTGATTTAATGAAAAGTAAGGAATATATATTATAATTACTGCCAGGTATCAATTGAAAAGTAAGTAAGAGTTGGATATTTATATCACTATCTCTATTAGTGCTGTCCAATAGAACTTTCTACAGTGACTGGAATGTTCTAGATCTTCACTTTATGCTATAATAGCCATTAGCTACAGGTGGCTACTGAGTCTTCAAAATGTGACTGGAGTGACTAAGGAACAAAATTAATTTTATTTAATTTTTAAAATTTTAAGTAAAGCAGACACATATGACTAATGTCTATTGGACAGCACAGATCGATGTAAACTATATTTGAGGAAGTTTTATATCTGTATACAGATTAAAATCAGAGATGTCTAAATTCTATAAGACACCAGGTAAAACCAGATGCTAACTTTTCCCAGATAGCTTGGTCTCAAGAGATTTCCTTGCTTGAAAAAAAGGCCATTTTCTTCTCGAAAAAGATCATGTGAAAAATGTGCACAAAAATAAAAACAAGTGACAATTGATACAATAATTAAAATGAACAGTTAAAGGTGGTCAGACCCAAGGTTACTGTCTGCACGTGCCTGATGTAACGCGGGTGGGTTCACCCGGTCCCACACCAGGATTTACCGCACGGTTATAAAGCTTTTGCAGCTTTCTCTTATCAGAGAAAACAGAAAAAACTAGGTTATTAACACCCCACATACCATTTCTATTCATGCTGTTCATCCACTTATCAAGCTCTTCCATTTCTATTTCCATGACAGAGGGTGTGTCTTCCTCAAAAATAGGTCTAGAGAAAGAAAGTAAAAAGCTTGTTGGAAAAAAAAAAAAACAAACACGAAACAAAACCAACATGTATGGTGTGCTTAATTTCATTTGAGGAGAGCCTAGGATGTGGACCGTGGACTCTGGGGAAGATGAACTTGATTCCGTATCTGATGCTCCGGGGTAGCCTGGGTGAGCAGGGGTTTGCCTGTTCAAGTGTACCAAACTAACAGGAAAAAAGGCGAAAACTAAAGTAAACCTTCAACCGTCACTGATCTAAACACGTAGGGAGCACATACCAGGACCAGGCTGCAAGGGAATCCAGACTCTGCTCCCCTGAAGGTACCAGCCGAGCCTACAAGTCTTCCCTGCGAGCCCCCCCCCCCAGGGAGTTGCTACATTTAGCATTTTAGCCTTGCTTAATTTCACTTCCCTTTCTTTTGGGGTTTTTCATCACTGCCCCAGGTCAAGACGCCACTGTCAACAAGCTACTTTCATCACCTCTCCCTTTGTTCCTGGCTTTCCTGCTTTGAAGAAATAGAACCCTTGCTTTCAGAAATCTGGGGGCTTCCCCCCTGCCAGGGCTGGGCGCGCACCGTTAGGTGAAGCAGCCCCGGGCTGCCGGAGAGGGAGGTGGGGGCGGGGACCCCCGGCTCTGAAGGGCTGCCTATGCGCTAGCCTGCGCGGAGGAAGCCAGTCTGGTGTCCAAACAAGCAAGGGCAGGGCAGACTTGGTGGTGACATC